TTATGTTTATAAGTTTTACAATTCTAGTAAGTACCTTTTATTTTTTATGCGTATACACAATACACATTATTAAGTGGTAGTACCTATGTGAAACTAAACGCCATTCTGGATTGATATCCTTTTGTTTGATATTTCTTTTTCTTAGGACTGTTGTGCGGTGCGATAAGTGAACGAAATGAAACGAAGACGAATCGGGTGTTTTGGAAAATAATTACGACTTTTGCTTTTGAATACGGACTCGATCACGCCTTTTATACGACCTTATGGGCTTTGTATTTAAGATACCGATTTATTGTTTGTGATTTGGAACCATTTTGAGATGCATAAATTGCTATTTATGCATCGATAGAATGCGAAAGCATGTTGTTTTAAGCTACAATGCGGACACTGTTGAATAGATACACCCGCAGTGATCTTAGACAATACATTTATTTTGATATCACTAGATGAGTAAATGATATAAAGTTAAAATGAGTGTTTTATTTTTTTAACAATCACAAATGTACAACCTCTGCTCTTAAGCGCTGTAATCAAAGTATTAGTAATAATAATACACTACTATTAGAATAGTCGCGATATACAATACTCTACTATGGCACTACATATTTGTTAGCTAGAGGTTTTGCTAGATCTAGAAGATTCCAAAAAAGGGACATATTGCTTCGACCAAATACTTATTTTGGTCGAAGCTTGTATGTATAAAATATGTCTCATGCAGCAAATATATATATTTCATATTCGTTATTATTACAATTATTTACACTAGCAAGAAAACGATTTCAATAAACTCGGAAACCCTCACAGACGAATAGGTACCTAGCCTAGAAACTACCTATTCATTAAAGTTATGAAAGCTGCTAAATAATAATTTATAACAATTCCAATTTTCTGCTCAATAGCAGCTCGAGAAATGTATGATAATTGTACTCTTTGTTAGTATATTATTAAAAAACCGCAATTTTTAGAGAACTTTACTATTTTGATTCCTAATATTACAGATATCAAATGTCATTTATCGCATTCGTGTACACCAATTTTATCGGGTGGGTCAGACCTCTATAGAACTTGTGGCATTGTCCTTTAGGTTTAAATAATCATGCCAGAATCGACGCTAATGGATAATTCATATTATAGGTATATATGTATTATAGTATATCTTTTTCAAAAACTTGCTCGGAAATTTGAGCATTATTTGATTATTACTGACAACCTTCTTCGAAATTGCTGTACTGGCCACATGCATGTGAACAGCGGCCGACAAAAGTTGTATGAAAATCCGTGTCTGTCATGTTTTAGCGGCAAAATTAATTACACAGTAAACAACCCGCAGTGAAATTTAATAATGGAGCGATCTTTTACTCCGAAATATGGTAACCAAGTAGGTAATTTATCTAAAGATTTATTTAAATTTGAACTGACTGGCAAATAGAAAGCTGTTTTTTGAAAAAAAAAACCAAATTAATGACTGTTCGCCGTTGATTTTGAAAAGTAGGTAATTGTATTTTAAAATAATAAGTTCTACTAAGGTTCTACTCAGTTAAATTTTCGTGCATTATTTGAGAAAATAACTATACAAGCCATGGTTACAACTAGGCATTAATCGACTTATTACATGTTCGTCCTTTAATGCCGCTTTTGATGGCCGCTGCAGTAATGTAATATTGAAGGATAGGATACCAGCACATCTCTGATTTATTACTACACACTCAATAATAGATGTGAGAATGAATAAGAATCAGAATAAATTTATTATACGCGTGTCACTTGAATTAAACAATGGATTTATTATTTGGCGCTAATATCATAGGGGTGGCATCCGCCTTGCTCGGCACTTGACCATCTGTGGCTGAGTTTGCGTTCAGAAATTGTAGCAAGCAAGGTGCCTTTTTAATCGCTTGTAATTTTTCCATTTGCTTTGTTACCATCTAAAAAGAATACTCCTTTAGAGTGATATTCACATTCAAACTATAAAATTTTAACGACAACAGATGTTTATTAAAATTAAATACGTGATTTAAAATGATTAAAAAGCATGGAAAACATGACTGAATCTTTTAAATTTAACATAATAATATTTAAAGAAATATTACTAGAAAAAAATCCACGCGGACCAGGCAGCAGACGGGACTCGAACCCTGTTCTAGTAATAATTTCTTTAGATTTATACATTCAGCAGTTGAATGCTTAAAAAATAAAAATGAATATAATATTTATTTAAAGATTTCACTGGTCAACAAAATTCAAACTTTTTTTTGTCACACGAAAACTTATACCCAATTTTGAATGTACTATGGCCACCAAACAATAATATATCAACAGAAAAAAATTGACACATCAGGTTTCTTTGTGACATCAAGATTTATATTTTTATGAAAATTACAAAAATCAGTAACATATAAAAAATATTTCTTAATTTAAAATAAATATCTATGATTTTAGTGAATGTTTGGCTTCTGGTAGGTCCCTTTTAAGTCCCCAGCAGTAATCTGCTAGCATTCCTGGACTCCATTTCCCTTGATAGCGCTTTTCTATGAAGGAAATGTCCTGATGAAACCTCTCGCCTTGTTCGTCGCTCACAGCACCCAAATTTTCGGGAAAAACATCCAGATGAGAGTACAGCATATGTATTTTTAAAGACATATTACATCCCAAAGCTTTGTATGAAATTAAAAGCTCACTGATTAAGTCTTTGTAATTTTCCGCTTTATGACTTTAATCTAGACCCCAAAAGCTCAGCCTGTTTTTTAGACAAGTTCAAATCGCGTACTAAATTGTTTAAATCACTTTGTGTCAATAAATGCGGTTCTTTTGAAGTTGACGGCTCATAACTTGGGTCACTATTTTGAGATATCTTACTTTGTTGACTAAGAACAAATTCCGGACAAGGACCAGAATCCAGACTTTCTGCTTGATTTGGAAGCATTGGCACAGGCAGTTCGGTACTATGTAGGATTGGTCTGTTGGCCGATGACACGATTGGGTACTGGACATTGTGTTTAGACTTAGTTGTTATGCCTTTTGTTTGAATCAAACAAAAATAACAATCACTTACATGATCCTTTGATTTCGTCCAAATCATTGGTATACCAAAAGCCAAATGTCTAGATTTCTAGACCAACCTAATAGGAGTCTAACACACGTTGAACAACATATATGTGGAACCCAGGGTTTATCTTGGTGACGTACTGCAATAAATAGCACTTTTCAACTAACGGCGTAAATTTCCGACGCTGAGGTGTTAAAGTTAATTCTCATAACAAAAACTGTCTGGCTTATTAGAACACTTTCGCGGCATATCTACAATGCAACAAACGTAAGTTTGTTGAATGCAATCGTTATACAGTCGTCTTAATTAACGTTATTCAAATAAAAACACGTAAATGAGGTCAGAAATGAAAATGTAGCTGTCACAAAAAAACTGGATGTGACTGATACCAAATAATGATTATTTTTGAATGAGGGTACATCAACATAAATAAAAATCATCACAAAGTTCGTGTGACAAAAACAGTGTTGACCAGTGTTTTCAGTAGACAGGGTACCTATCATCCATCATCATCAGCCTAATAAATACCGAAAGCTGGGGCATAAGTCTTGTTTATGGATAGATGAGGTGGGTGTTAACGATTGCAGATGTAATATAGTAACCACAACCAACAGTATAGTTTGCTTCGGAAGCACGGGTTTTTTTCCCCCCCATTATAAGACTAGGACATTGCGAATTATTTTATTTCTAGGATCGTAGATCAAGCACACCATTGCGTATTTGATCCTCTCAAGCAGTTATAATAGGAACATTAATATGCCTATTTTAACATATATTATATAAAAATATAGGTAAGTAGTTCGTTAAATTACATTGCTATGAAAATGTTTAATTTATTAAGTGGTACTTGTAAAACAACACCGCTCCAGTCGAAAATTGGCGGTTTTTAGATTTGAATACTATTGGATAGATCTGTAGGTACTCTGCGCGCCTTCTATCGTCATGCTATTTTTAAAAAATACCTACCTTGCGCGCAATACAAATCTTAATGCAAAATTATTGAGGTGTTACATCTTTCCTCTCGCTTTCCCGCAATTTGTGGGAGTGATTTCGTGAAATGGGACGGAAGTGTGTAACAGGAAGTCGCGGAAGCGCGCGCTATTTGATTTGATTTTAGAACATAATGTTTAAATGGCTTATTCCTTTTGTAGTAGGTTTTATTTCTTTTTTTACTAATTTAAGGTGAGATTTCAAATGTTACACATCATACGTGACTAATGTAAGGCTCACTCGTTTTTTTTCAAAAGATGACTAGGTATGTGCTTCTTATTTTATTGTTAAAGTGAGTTTTTTGACGTGACAACGTCTTAAATTAGGTTGCGGCTGGGAGTCACTTATGAAAAAGTGTAACGCTCGGTAACGTTACGATGAGTCTCTCGTGTTAAGTTTAAGTTTACATGTACAATGTTTTAGTAAACAAAATATATTTCTATAGTTAAAATTTGTGCAATTCTAATTTTCATTCAATTCCTTGTTCCTATTGTGCAATTTAATTATATTCATATCAATAAATATTCTACCGAGAAAAAGACGTTGTCACGTAAAATCTTCGCCCGTAAAACCGACTTTACAGGCAACCATTTTTTTGCTAATTGGAAGTGAATATTCATTTAAAATAATTCCTTAAGAATGGGAAAAGAGGTAAAATATTGTTATAAATAAATATCTTTATTCAAATTCATACCAATTTGTAATGTACTTATTCGAGAAACTAAGTTTAACTTTACATTGAAAGCTACATACTTTCAGTTCTCAGTATTATAATTTATATACTTTAATTATTAATCATTTTGTTTAAGTTGAAGTCTTCGACGAAGAATCTCGCTGTGTAGATGGTTGAAGACGTTTTTGAACGCATGATTAATGTCACACCAAAGTGACAGTGACACTGACATTCAGTGATTGCTTCTTTCGTCTCTCAGCCATAGCTGTAATATTTTTTTTTACAATTACGTAAAATCGCATTTTTGCGATAAAAGTATGAGTGTTTCTTAAAGAATTGTATTGAAAAATATTATAATAAATATTAAAATGTGGCATTTATTCCAAGGGCATTCATGTCAATTAATTCGACAGAGGTAAACATTTTTAACCTGCAAAAATGTTTTTATTTTACTTTGTATAGTTATCTATTTAATAAATTATGATTTCCAGGTTGTTAGCGACTAAGAGTAATGGGTTTTTTATTAATGTACTGAAAAATAAATCAACTGGAGTGGTAAAACGTAATTTTGCCGATGTTAAAATTACCACAGAAAAAGCTGCAAAAAACAATGTATTCCTAATTTGCAGTCCTTGGAAGCTTTGTACGGGTGTTAGTTTAGGATTGACTGTTCAAGCATTTATAAGAAACAATCAAGTATTATGCAAGGCAGTTCAAAATTCAAGGGTCATTCAGCGTAGGCCAAATGTGTCTGAAGATAGTTCGAAATTTGATTGGCAAAGGTTATTCGAATATTTAAAGCCACACCGGTGGCTCTTGGTTGCAGCTGTTGCTGTAAGTACCTATATTCTCAACCTAAAATATTTATTTTTTCTAATAAGAGAAATGTTTGTATATAAATCATGTTCTATACTTACATCAATTTTTTTGGTTTCAGTCAGCTTTAGCCGTGGCATTTCTAAATGTATACATTCCAGCTATGTTAGGAGCGATTGTGAATGTGTTAGCAAATATGAAGGCAAATCCAGCTGCTGATTTCATAGATGAAATTAAGTTACCGGCTTTTAAGTTGATTTCCCTGTATATTGGACAGGTATGGATTATATATTCACCATAATGATGGTGTCCTTATTCATGAATGATGATCCTCATGGTGAATAATAATGTGGCATTAGTCATGTAATTAAACTTTTAAATGGATTAGAAGCATGTATTTTTGAATTGTATTATGTCACTAGCCGCTGCAAGCAACTTTGTCCACGTTAACTTTAGTTTATAGAAAAACCCTCAAGAACCTTACACTTTTCTTGGATAACAGTAGCCTATAGTATTTTCCAGGTTCTAAGCTGTCTGTCTTTAAAATTTCATTTACATCCATTCAGATTTTGCATTATTAAGTAACAAACATACAAACTTTGACATTTATAATATTAGTGGGATACATTTATGTTACAATTCAAAAGCTTAGTGTGAGTGTAATATAGTGCCATTAATTATAGTGGATGGTGGTGGAAATGCGAATGTTTGTAGATTAAGATAGTTGCTATGCAATCACGCGAATACATCTCAAAGGATTTGGATAAAATTTGCAACACAGACAGCTTATTGCTCTGATCAGGATACTTCTTATCTCAAAACAGTGTTAGGCTCTGCTGTGTATTTCTCAACAATGAAGTTAATGGTAGATTTTCTGTAATTTATTACCTCATAAAAAAAATATTTTTATGATTTTTTAAATGCTAATGTCCCAGGCAAAGCCTTTAATTTTATATAGAGGTAAAGGAATGTATGGTTTGCTGAGTTTCATTATCATTTATTTTACAAAATATTGTTTTACATTTACTACCTATTCATTATTGCAGGCAGCATTTACATTCTTTTACATACATTTGCTGTCACAAGTTGGAGAGCGAGTAGCTGCGCAGATGAAACAAGATCTCTTTGTATCTATACTTTATCAGGATATGGAATTTTTTGATCGGGAGAGGACAGGAGAGCTAGTAAATAGGTATGGCTTTTGTTTACATTAAATTGTAATCTAAAAAAAACATCACTGTTTCATTAAAACTTGGTATAATGTAAGGGTTCTATCTATACTTCATTCTTGAAATCTATCAAGTTGCTTATACCACAAGAGATTATAATGGAAAAGACTTACATCATCAATGCTAGCGAAAAATGATTTATACTTCTGGGTTGACGGTTAAACATAAATAATCCTCTCTACTTTGTAAAAAACAGAAATGTAGTTGATTATTATACAATTGATTCGATTTCGACTTGCAGGTTAACTGTGGATGTTCAAGACTTCAAAAGCTCATTTAAACAAACAATTTCGGGTGGCTTAAGAGCAATTACACAGGTATATGCAGATTTTGAAACCAATTCCTAGCTTTGTTATAATATCTTAGTTCAATGAAATTAATTATTATAATGATATAGAAAATTATACTACACAAAATAAATACACACAGTTCAGGCAGATGCGACACAAACTTGCACCCTCTGCTATCCGGGCGGATGCACTGACCAATTATGCTACTGTAACCTTAATGACCGTGACGAATTTCTTCAAGTATTTTTAGGCTGCTATTATTCTTCTCTATCAAAATAATTTCTAGTAAAATTTTCTTTATATTTAAACATCTTAAATCAATCTTATGTTAAAAGGGTGTTGAATAAGCGTACGGCCTTCCTGCTGATAAGTGGCCACCATGACCTGTAGATACTTGCAATACCAAAAATATCACTCACCATTGCCTACCCTGACCTGATCCACTACCTCTTGAAGCCCTACAAACCTACTCACAAAAAAAACAACACCACCAAAAGGTAGTGTGTGTGTGCTATGCCTAATCATCGTTGATACTGCATTACCGCCTAACCAACAGTGGTCAGCACCGTGGAACTACAAAGAAATCAAAGGAGGACGGGCGTTTTTGCCTAGAAACCAATAATAATGTGCAATATATAATGAGAAAAGGTTTTTTTATATACTTGAATTGTTGTTATTGCAGAGTGTCCCAAATCACTGTATGAAAAAAGTTATAAGACAATAAAGCCAGCCAGAAAATAATTTTAACTCTTTACTTTGGTATCCTATCAGCTTAAACTAGCCAAATTATATTGAGTGGGGCATTTGCACAATGTCCTGTATATAATTGAAGTAAAAACAGATGATTTGATGGTCGGTAAGAAGCCGTATATAGTCTTGCCATGTATGGACAAGAAAATATTTACGTTACAGTTTGGCAGTAATGCAATTGACATTATATTACATTTGTTTGACAGGGCACCGGACAATAGGGAGTTGTGCCCATATAACTTCTACTTATTGCGTGTTATCTAGGTATAGGAAGGCATAAGGCTTTTAATCATGTGACTAGTGTCATTGTGGCATTGTGCTGAGGCAGGGACCTAGTTGACCTTATTCTGTGTTTTTATTTATGATTTTATTTCTATTTTTCAATGTTATTGGTCAATAAATTATTTCTTTCTTTCTTTCATTAAGATGTGACATGTATATATCGCTATCTTACGCAACTTTTGCTGTAAGATTCGTCCAGGTGGTGATTGTAAAAGCATCAGGAGCTAAATAATATATACATACAGAACCTTTAAGGAACGAGTACAGAGCGCACTATATTAATTTTTTTGGTACTTCAGTATGTTAGTTTTACAAAATAAACTAAAATCAATTCATGCTTAACATAAAAATATACACATATTTTTGCGAACAAGTCTAGCTTTATTGTGTCATAACTTGCTTCGAACAGCACTTTGGGACTTTTAGCCATAACAGTAGTAATAATACATAAAAAATATTTTCATTGATATGTCGCATGTTGTTATTGGCTCCTAGGCAGGCTTTCATAGATTTTTGCTCGTTATCCTTTCAGATTTCGCGCGTATTAGGTCTTGACAGCAATTGGCATTGTCCCGTCTTGTCAGGTGAATTCTTCGTCCAATCAAAACGCTTGAAACGAGACAAGCCAAAACCACGAGAGCGAAGAATATAACAATAATACCGCGTATCTGCGCTTAATTTCATAGAACGAGTGGTTGTTTTCTATGTGCTTCGTCGAAATGGTTTTTTGTAGTTTCTTTTACAGTTGGATTTATTCACCAATCCTAAAATATTTAATACCCCTAGATACACCATGTGCGCGCAAAATGTGTCCCAATCAAGAAGTGCTTGAACACGACTCAAGCACCTCTTGGTTGACAGTGACGTGCGGACAGTTGAAAAGTCAAAATGCCGCTGAGCTCCAGAAAAAAATGTGAGAAAAATACCCATAAAACGTAGTGTGTCGTTTTTTTGACAGGTATCTAATCAGTATTTGTTAATTTAACGCATTTAAAGCACGCTTACGGAGCTCCGAGGATCGTTCGATGTACCTTTTGGACAGGTTTCGGCCTCGATTTTGTTCATGATGTTGTATCTAGGTTATTAAATATCGTTGCTCCATTCTCCTTATCTATGGTTTCTTTACTGGCACGAGTTTAAATTTTAATCAAATTGTTTATGGTGTTCTAGGTGGTCGGATCAGCTGTAAGTCTGCTAGTAATATCGCCCCATCTAACCGGACTGACTATGGTGTGCATTCCTTCAGTAGTTATTGGGGCTACATTCATAGGCTCTTTGCTTAGGAAATTGTCCAGGGAAGCGCAATCTCAGGTATGAATGAATAATTAATTAATAATATTATTGTCTATGCTAGATATCAATCCATATAATATCCAGATTGCTAGCGTAATCTACGCTTCTGTTGCATTTTATGACAATTTTAATTTGCGTCTCAGACAAAAGTAATATTATTTTAGTAAGCAAAATCTTTAACCTACTCAACCAAAGCAAAATGTAGCAGCTAGAGCACGAGAGTATTATTTCTGGTTATATACTTAATCATGGTTTTGTATTTTTGTAAATTTGGATACTGCTGTCATTACAAAGCTGTTTATTTATTCTATATCTCCAAAATCCAGTAAATGGCGGACTTAATGCGATAGGCATCCTCTACCAGTCAACAAGAATGGGTGTATGAGACGGATGTTTTGGCGATAGAGTGCGAGTTACTAAAGTTAGATAAAACAATATATATATATGTAATAATAAAGATTAGAGAAATATGAGGTTGTAAGATAGTGTGCAAAGTGTGCATATAAAGCTATGTTGTAAGCACAAAATATTGAGAGGGTAGATCATACAAAGTTGTGACGTCAATCCGTAAGCGAAATTATCCTTATCCTAAGTACGAGCAAAATTGCTATAATCTTCTCTCGCTACTTTTCATACATATCATATTTAAAGAAACTATAATTTGGTTTTGTGATAGACTGCATTAAATTTTCAAAGAAAGATATTGTTTTCATTTTATTTATTTACTAGTGAGTGTCTACGACTACGTCTGCATGGCAAAATTAGTTTCCCATATAAACTTCCACCCCTCTTTATACTTCCTTAAAGGTTGATTTCAGGGATAAGAACTGTCCTATGCTCTTGACTTAAAATAAATCTATACCAAATTTCATTCAAACCAGTTAAGCGGTTTAAGCGTGAATATGTAATAGACAGACAGACAAACTTTAGCATTTGTAATATTAGTATGAAGAGATAAGAGTTTGATGCCATTGAAAAAACGTTGTAGATAGAGAAAGCGACGTTAGTGGCCGAGGAAGCCATAGCGAATATGCGAACAGTGCGAGCGTTCGCCGGCGAGCAGAACGAGGCGCGAATGTTCGCCGACGAATGTGAGGCCGCAGCCGAACTTAGTATGGAACTGGGGCTCGGGGTGGGGCTGTTCCAGGCAGGGACCAATTTGTTCTTGAACGGGTGAGAATGGATGATAATATGTCCATAGAAGTATACTCTCTGAGAGAAAAACTAGAAAGTTCGATATTCATCTAATAGTAAAATTTTACTAAGTAGTACTTTTACTACATAGAGTCACGCTTAGTTTTATTATAGTATAATTGCTTCATTGATATATTTAATTGTTTTAAAATCTGAATCGAATTATGGTAATACTGTTAGACACACGTGCTCGCGTAAGCGCCAGCCACCTGATAGATAATAAATAAAAAAACGAAAAGTCGACGCGCTATCATCTCTTACACACATTGCCGACAATGCATTGTATAGAATACCTAGGGAGAGTATAAAATGAATAATTCACATATTGCCTTGACGTTTTTGGCATTCTATACAATGCTTAGGTATTGTATACAATGCCGAATTATACAGATTGCCGGTAACATCTAAAATCTATAATTAATATTATAGTCCCAAGCGCTCGTTCCTTCTTTATGAAATTGTCTAAGAGAGTCACCGAGGCGACCGGTGATCAAAAGGCTGGCAGCTACCTTGGTTAAGGAATCAGCCTTGCTATCCAACGTAGAAATGCTGCCAGCCTATTGGGCACCGCTCCTGACAGCGGCGCTATGGTGATATTTTTTTTTATTTTGTAAATTATTTATTATTTGAGTACTTAGTTATTTCTAGTTTTTAGATATTAGGTAGTGTTAAATATTTCTCAGTTAATATAAATAAATTAATATATTATAGAATGGTCCTAAGCACAATGTTTCTGGGCGGCCATCTAATGTCCACCGGTCAGATGTCAGCGGGCGACGTGATGGCTTTCTTAGTAAACGCTCAAACGGTGCAAAGATCTGTGGCGCAGCTATCTCTGTTGTTCGGCTCCGTAGTGAAAGGGATAAGCGCTGGCGGCCGGGTGTTTGAGGTGAGTTGAGTGTGATCTTTTTCCACTTGCTCTATTTTATTTTCTACTGATTTTATAATTGTAAAAAATCGAGTGTGTTTATCACCACACGATTGAAGTAAAAACTTCTTTAGCTCCATCTGTATATATATATATATATATATATATATATAAATGTGTGTGTCTACAATATGTACATGTATGTACATATACAAATTTAATTTACTAGCTATAAGAGAAAGATAAAAAGAATATGTGCGCTCGCACTGCTTTCTCTTGCTTATATCCCCCACTCAACTCCCGTTCGCCTCGCCCGAACACACTTTTCGTAACGCGTAACGCAGTCGCCAGCTTACCCCCCAAGTCAAGCGTACGTAAAGAAGTTTCACTTCAAAATATTGTATGTGTGTTACTTTACTCTGTCCACGGAAACGAGATAGTGGCGCGCTTTCTTTATTTATCACAATCGGTTATAAAATACAAAGATGGGTGACTGACTAGTAAGCCTGCGGACTGCGTATGCACGTTATAATTTCTGACCAAAACAGCAAATCGTTTTTTTTTATTAGCATTGATGGGCTTTGCGATATTAGCAACTTTTATAATTATAAAAAAAGACTAAACCCGCCTTATGTACGTCGACTTATATTAAACCTCGTTTAAAACTGATGCTGTCACTTTTAGCCCGGGAGCCACCAATCCTGAAAACTCCGTGATCACGGATTCTAATATTTTTAATAAAAAATAAAAGTTAACGTTTAGACGAACAAGATTTACTTGGTCGGCGTGGATTTGATTGGCCGGAAATATTTTACTTAAATTATTAATTATTAAATTTCCATATTTTTTTCCGTCAGCACGGATTTTGATCAATCTTATATAGAATTTTGTGTGAAATATTATGTTCAACAAGAAAAAATCTGGCCGACCAATGATTTTTAGCCGGAAAGGTCACGCATACCTATTTGAATGGTGTGATAAGGGGTAAAATTTATTGAAACTTGTTGAAAATTGTTCGTCTAAACGTTCACTTTTATTTTTTATTAAAAATATTAGAATCCGTGATCACGGAGCTTTCAGGATTGGTGGCTCCTCGCCTATTTTGTTTGTTAAAAAGAAGACAGAAACAGCATTAGGTTAAAAGTATGACTAACTTTAGTCCACGTTTTGGAATAAGGCAGACAGAGTTTTGTAAGCTCTATTATATCCTGCCAATATTATTAAAATAATACAATTATTTTTCAGTACATAAACAAGGAACCGAAAATGGACACTTCGGGCAATAAGATTATAAAATACCACGAATTCCAAGGAGACATAGAATTCAAAGATGTCACATTCGCTTATCCAACGAGACCTGAAGCAGTAAGTTTCTTGTTGAATACTAGTCTTATACCTAGGTTTATAAAGTTACTGAAGAATAGATCACTGTGTCCATTGATATAATTTACTAGAAATATTGTTCATAGACTTACTCGTACTCTAGAGTCCAGATTAGGACAACTATATATCATCATCAGCCTATTAATGTCCCCGTTGATGGGGCACAGGCCTTCCCTCTGGATGGAATAGGAAGATTGGGCCATGACCCACCACGCGGGTTCAGTGCGGATTGGCGGGTGCTAACGACCAGATGCAGCCGGGCCCAACGGCTTCACATGCTTTCCGAACCACGGAGGAACTCGAGATAGATGATTTTTGGTCACCCATCCAATGACCGACCACTGCGAAAGTTGCTTAACTTCAACGATCGCAGCCGAACGCGCTAACTACCTGCGCCATTGAGCTCCTACTCCTCATCAATTAAACATATATATTACTTATTATATAATGTCACAGGTATTCTGTACAATACCTAGGCATGTATAAATGCCTGCGGCGCGTCTAAGTTAGTGTATGGAATATTATAAATATTGTTTTCCATTTAATACTTTGCCTAGGTAATGTATATAATTCCTAGGGATTGAATAGAGTACCTGCTGACCCACCGGGAATGTTTAAAATTAACATATTTAGCTTGTATTTATCCTCACCAAACCTAACATACTATCCAGATGCATATAAATGACGGACGGATTTTATAATTCTCACAGAATAAATTACAGACGAATGAACTTTTGACCAACTCACAGTGGGTTAGGTTAAGTTAGTGTTGTGACCGAAACTTCACCTGCCATCTGATAGATCTCTTACACACATTACCGACTGCGCGCATGAAGCCGCATTTGGTATTGTATAGAATATCTAGGCAAAGTGTAAAATGAATAATATTGCATACATTGCCATGACATTATTTGCATTCTATACAATGCCTAGGTATTCTTTAGAATGCCGAATTATACAGATTGCTCAACATAATAAATTCTTGGTTACCCATCTGATAATTGGCCATTGCAAAAGTTGCTTAACTTCCACGATCGCAGACCGAACGCGCTAACCACCCGCGCCATCGAGCTTCTCAAACTCATTTATTCAGTCTTGGCTGTTACAAGCTCTTGTGAAGGTAAAACGCTACGCCATCGGTTCGTAAATCTACGGCGGGAGACCTTGTACCGAGAAGAACCGGCAAGAAACTCAGCAAGGGCTATTTTTATCTCCCTGTTTTGTTTCATATAGTGTTGTCAATTGAAAGATGACTTCAAAATGTTCTCCTTGGAACATCGTGATTTCATTAAAAAAGTCCCACCGTTTATTTTTTTCTTTAAAAAATTTAATGTTTTAGGTTGTATTGAAGCACTTTAACTTGAAGATTCCTGCGGCGAGGACGGTTGCAATAGTAGGTACTTCTGGTAACGGCAAATCCACAATTGCAGCACTCTTAGAAAGGTAAGAGGTCTCATTTTACTTCATTAAAGTATATTATGTGGCTACTATCAATACATGATCCCCGAATTTGGTGAATGGAACATACCAACTTTCATAATAATATTTGAATTAGTATGGCCAAACTTTAGAACTGAGAGTGAAGTCGTCCGACCACAGAGCCTATAAAGGATCCGAAACATCAAGAGTAATGAAAAAGTTTATATTGCGCTTTTATACTCTTATTCTATAACTTAGCTAGATTTTTATTAAAAAAATAAAAATCTAGCTAATTTATAAATTTATTTAGAAGCAGATAGAAGATAGAGAAGACCAAAAACTTGAAAACGTATCACATTTGACACTATCTGATTGTGGCGGTAACGTGAAGTGTGTGAACGTGGAGGAAATAATCACTCGCCTCCTCAAGAGATGGCACTACCGGCACTGCGCTCACAACTTATGGAAGCCTACATCGTGCAAGAGAAATTCGGAGGCTAAAACTCCATATGTACGGTGGCGGTTAAAAAATGTTTACCAGTTTTGAAATTAGATTCTATGTCACACTTTTTTCACTAAAGTCTAAAATGCCATATCAAGTAACTTATATATATTAACCTTTCAAAAGTTATATGACGCATCGGGAATAACAAAAAGAATTATATATAACTTTTTGATATTGAAACTCATTTCTTTATTTGTTGAAATGACATTTATAAAAAAATGTTTGAACATTGTTTGGACACGAGCAAAATTTTACGAATAATCTCTTATCTATTAGACAAGTCCGTCCGTCCGTCTGTCTGTGGTGCTGTTTCAGCGGCCAAACCGTAAGAGATAGATAAAGAGAATATTTAAGTTATAAGTTAGGAATAGTCTGATAAGACTACAAACCGGATTTGAGTAACGTAGCACTTCTGGTTTTCGAGAAATCACGAATTTCAAATGAAACCACACAAAATCTCCGAAGTTCTCAATTAATTAAATACATTTTTTTTAAATCAGGTTTTGGTGAACATTTGGTTCACTGGTTTGCTAGTAATTTCATAACGAAATAAAATGACAAGTTTGACCCTGGAGCAAAGTACTGAAATAATATTTCTCTTCGAAGATGGACAAGTTTTAGTGATACATCACGAGAACTCAATATATCGCGATTCACTGTGAGGTTTTGGATCCGGCGTCACGGCGAAGAAAGGCACTTAACAGATCATAGAAATAATTCAGGATGACGGCCAATTCTAACCGCCGCGCAAATAATAGAACTGATTCGTCGTTATGAAGAGAACGGTTTCATACCAAATAGTTATTTTGCTGCTTTATATGATGTGAGTGCTCTGAAGATCCGACGAGCTTTGCACAGTGCTGGACTACACTACAGACACCATGCTATTTAAAGTGGAGCTAAAGCCTCACCACAAAACAGCCCGGCTTAACTTTGCGCGACAACATCATGATTTTGCTTGGTCGAATACTATTGTGGCTAACCCACATATCTACACGGTGGAACACACACACACACACACATAAAGTATTAATATATTTATATATACACATACACCATATATATCAAGTACAAATAATAAAATATCATTATTATAATATACATACATATAAACTAACATTAAAAACACTTACATTATAAATACATTATACAATAATAACATATTCACAATAAATCGACAAACATACAGACCGCACGTAAAAATATTTATTATGTATCAAAAAGTGTGGTATGCGCGCTGACCGCGAACCGGTCCGGCCGCCTGCTGCGGCCGAGTCGCCGTCCTCCCCGCGCCTCACCTCCTACCCGTTCGGTCGCGGAGCTCATTCAAAACGCGCTCTCGCCCCAGTCACAATCCGACTATTAGACGGGGAACCCGTACCACTAGCTTGCTAAATATTTACATGTTTATGTTATTTGTTATTCGTTTTCCAACTGTTTAATATCTGCCTGTCACTCTGTGCTGTGTTGCTTTACCTTCTGTGCTGTACTCCCTTCTAAATTTTGTAGTAAACGTTGATATAGAACAGGACTTATTCATTATAACTTCTTACAACATATTTATCGTCCGCTAACGCTTAGCGCCACTACAACTGGTGACCCCGCTTTTGAACATAAGCAGAATGAACGACGACGGACAACAGCCGAACGGCGACAAGCAAGAAACCGTTGGACATTTTTCAAACACGATGATGCCTGCCCCGGAAACTTTTCGAGTCGGTGTGAGAATACCTCCGTTTTGGCCGGAAAAACCAATGATATGGTTTTCACAAATCGAAGGACAATTTGCGATGGCCCGGATAACTGACGATAATACGAAATATTATTATGTACTTTCGCACCTCGATCGTCAATATGCAGTTGAAGTAGAAGACGTTATAACCTCACCACCGACTAATGGCAAGTATGAAAAGCTGAAAACAGAGCTAATCAAGCGACTTTCAACGTCGAGTGAGAGAAAAGTAAAACAACTGTTGCAATCCGAAGAGCTTGGGGATCGCAAGCCTTCTCAATTTCTGCGACATCTGCAACACCTTGCCGGTCCCAGTATTCCCGAGAACTTTTTACGCACGATATGGACGAGCCGATTGCCAAACAATTTACAGACAGTGATTGCGTCACAGATGACTTTATCACTAAATGACCTAGCCGACTTAGCAGACCGTGTACACGATATTGCTCCAGCATCACCGGAAGTGGCAGCGGCTAGTAGATCTACTACGCAATCGACACTGGACATAATGGCGCGGAGTATAGCTGAACTTACGAAGCAGGTCAGCGCCCTTACTACGGAAGTGCATAGCCGTTCCCGTCCTCGCTATAAGCAAAGCTACCAGGACAGACAGAGACATCGGACACCCTCGAAGCGTTCCTTATCCAACTACCGAAAATTTCCGCAGTGTTGGTATCATTTTAAATTCGGTAGTCAAGCCAAGAAGTGCATCAAACCCTGTGACTTTAAATCGGGAAACGCTCAGGGCAGTCAGTAATGGCGACTGATGATTGCCCACCGTCATTGCCCAACGGTCGCCTTTTCGTAACGGATCGCAAGTCGAAGATGCAATTTTTAGTGGACACCGGAAGTGACTTATGCGTATACCCTCGTTCTGCATTGCGTGATCGCCGCGATAAGACGAATTACCAACTCTGTGCTGCAAACGGTTCGAACATTGACACTTATGGTTATATACAGTTTAATATTGATTTAGGGTTACGCAGAGATTTTAATTGGAAATTTGTTGTAGCAGATGTTACTAAAGCTATTATTGGTGTTGATTTTTTATCTTATTATAATTTACTTATAGATGTACGTAATAAACGAATTATTGATGGCATGACAAAATTAACTTCTGTAGCTTGTATTGTTCCCAAATGTAGATCAATCCCTAGTATTAAGGTTGTGACTGGTTTTTCAAAATATCATCATTTGCTCTCTGAATTTAATGAAATAACTAAACCACCAGGCGTATATCACACACCTAAACATAACACTGTACATCATATTCGTACCACACCTGGCCCCCCTGTTTCATGTTCACCCCGCAGGTTAGCACCGGACAAGTTGAAAATTGCCAAAGCTGAGTTTAATGCGATGTTGGCAAGTGGCGTAGCGCGCCCTTCCGAATCACCTTGGGCATCTCCGCTACACCTCGCTCCTAAGAAAGATAAAGGATGGCGTCCATGTGGGGACTATAGGATGCTGAACTCCAGGACGATACCAGATAAGTATCCGATAAGGCATATACATGACTTTTCACATAATCTTTCTGGCTGTTCCGTATTTTCTACAATAGACTTAGTAAAAGCTTATAACCAGATCCCTGTTCACGAAGAGGATATCGCGAAAACTGCGATCACTACACCCTTCGGACTCTTTGAATTTCCGTCCATGACGTTTGGTTTACGCAATGCGGGCCAAACTTTTCAGAGGTTCGTTGATGAAATGACCCGTGGCCTGGATTTCTGTTATAGTTATTTAGATGATTTTTTGGTGTTCTCAAGGTCACACAGAGAACACGAAGGTCATCTACGTCAGCTTTTCTCCCGCATGAAGGACTATGGTATAGTGATCAATACTTCTAAGTGCGTCTTTGGCGCATCAGAGGTAACGTTTCTAGGCTATAACATTTCTCAACAAGGAACCACACCTCTGGAAGGTAAGGTCCAGGCCATTAAGGAATTCCCTGTACCCACAACGGCTAAGCAACTTAGGCGATTTTTAGGGATGATAAATTTTTATAGGAGATTTATTCCAGAAGCAGCCAAAATCCAATCACCATTGAATAGCTTACTCACTGGTTCAATAAAAGCCTCACAACCAATTGTCATGGACAAAGACGCGATGAGAGCTTTCGAGGAGTGTAAAGAGAGTTTGTGTAAAGCAACAATGTTAGCACACCCAGATCCGGAAGCCAAGCTTGGACTCTTTACGGATGCTTCTGAAGAGGCAATTGGAGGAGTCTTACAACAGCGAAAGGACGGCAACTGGCAACCTCTTGCCTTCTTTTCACGAAAGTTGAGCGCGGCTCAAAAGAAATATTCGGCGTATGATCGAGAGCTTTTAGCTATTTACGAAAATATTAAATATTTTCGGCATTGGCTTGAAGCTACTCATTTCACAATATACACTGACCACAAACCTCTCTGTTTCGCTTTTCGTGAACGGAAGAGTACTTGCAGTCCGCGTCAGTACAGACATTTAGATTTAATTTCCCAATTCTCAACGGACATTCAACATGTCTCAGGGAAAGATAATACAGTCGCGGACACACTCTCTCGTATAAATGAGCTCAGTGAACCAATTGATCTGGAGCAGATGGCAAAATTGCAGAAAACCGATTCAGAATTGACTCATTACCTTAAAGAAGAATCATCATTGCGTATTAAAAAAATGGTTCTTCCTGGAAGTCGAACGGAATTGTACTGTGACATCAGTACATCGACTCCCAGGCCCTTTGTACCGAAACTTTTGCGCAAACAAGTATTTGACAGTTTACACTCATTGTGTCACTCTGGGGCTAACGCCAGTGCAAAACTTGTAGCTCAACGTTATGTTTGGCCGCAAATGCGAAAAGATTGTCGAGAATGGTCCACGGCATGCTTAGCTTGCCAACGCACAAAGGTAAATCGACACGTTAAAACCCCTTTGGGTACCCTCGATTTACCAACAGCGCGGTTTAAATACGTTCACATAGATCTTATCGGTCCTCTACCACCTTCCCAAGAATATCGTTATTGTTTGACTGCTGTCGATCGCTTTACGCGATGGGCCGAAGCTGTCCCCATAACTGATATTACCGCGGAATCCGTGATAAAAGCATTTCTACTGGGTTGGGTCGCTCGTTTCGGTTGTCCGACCGTTGTAGTTACTGACCGTGGAAGACAATTTGAGAGTGCAACGTTTCAACAACTCTCCAAAACACTTGGCTTTAAACATCGCCGAACAACTGCATATCACCCACAATGCAATGGTTTAGTTGAGCGTTTTCATCGCCAACTTAAAGGTGCCATTATGTGTCATGCTGATAGCAGTTGGTCTGAATCATTGCCGTTAGTATTGCTTGGCATTCGAAGTTCTTTTAAAGATGACCTTCAAACATCTTCGGCTGAACTAGTCTATGGCGAACCCTTGAGACTACCAGGCGAATTTTTTGGTCATAATGTTGACAAGTGCGCCACTGATCTGACTGATTTTTCAGTACGCATCAGATCATTTGCTAACAGCTTGCAACCTGTTCCCACATCAAACCACTCCAATAGAAAGGTTTTTATATACAAAGACTTATCTTCGTGTTCGCATGTTTTCCTTCGCGAAGACGCTCAAAAAGGAGCTTTAAGACCAGCGTATACTGGACCTCATGAGGTAATCGAGAGAGGACCCAAAGTGTACAAAATTTGTGTCAAAGGAAAAGAAGTCACAGTATCAGTAGACCGGCTAAAACCAGCCTACATATTGTCAGACCCTGCCAACACTGACACGACGGCACGTACGGAGACTAACAACAGTAATACTGTCATAAAAACTACACGTTCCGGTCGAAGAGTTCGATTCCCTGACTTTTATCGTCTTTAAACATGGACTCTCAGGGGGGAGTGATGTGGCTAACCCACATATCTACACGGTGGAACACACACACACACACACATAAAGTATTAATATATTTATATATACACATACACCATATATATCAAGTACAAATAATAAAATATCATTATTATAATATACATACATATAAACTAACATTAAAAACACTTACATTATAAATACATTATACAATAATAACATATTCACAATAAATCGACAAACATACAGACCGCACGTAAAAATATTTATTATGTATCAAAAAGTGTGGTATGCGCGCTGACCGCGAACCGGTCCGGCCGCCTGCTGCGGCCGAGTCGCCGTCCTCCCCGCGCCTCACCTCCTACCCGTTCGGTCGCGGAGCTCATTCAAAACGCGCTCTCGCCCCAGTCACAATCCGACTATTAGACGGGGAACCCGTACCACTAGCTTGCTAAATATTTACATGTTTATGTTATTTGTTATTCGTTTTCCAACTGTTTAATATCTGCCTGTCACTCTGTGCTGTGTTGCTTTACCTTCTGTGCTGTACTCCCTTCTAAATTTTGTAGTAAACGTTGATATAGAACAGGACTTATTCATTATAACTTCTTACAACATATTTATCGTCCGCTAACGCTTAGCGCCACTACACTATATTTACCGATGAGAAAACCTTTAAATCAAGCCAAATCGGGAGATTAACTTTATGGCGCTATAATCGAAGTCGGTATGATGAAGCTCATATCGTGCCTCAAAACGAATCATGTCGCATAACAGTAAACTTATGGGGGTGGATGAGCCTCGGCGGCGTCGGAGATCTGGCGTCGTTAGAGAAGAGGGCTACTGCCATTAAATATGTGTCGCTTTTGGCTGAAGTGATGCTACCTGCTGTGCGCGTAGTGTATCCTGCAACAGAATTCCCGCCCATTACTTATGTTCAAGATAATGCACGGATACACACGGCCTATGCTACTATGGCGTGGTTCAACCTGCACCGTGACATTCGTCCCATTCAATGGCCCACTCGGTCTGCTGATTTAAACCCTATTGAAAATTAATGGGGGCTTATGGTTCAATGCTGGGACTGTCAAAATGAAAGGAACCCTCATGATCTTAGATCACACTGTGCTCGAGTATGGGATGATATTAGAGGGACCGATCTATGCGCGCATCTTGTTGCATCAATGCGAGATAGACTACGTGCCGTCATAGCTGCAAAGGGAGGTTATACTAGATATTAAATAAAGATTTTTGAAGTCCCTTTTTTATTATTTCTTCATATTCTTAGTTAAAAAACTAGAATATTAGTGTTTTCAATTGTTTTCTATATTTGTTTGACGTCACGGCTAGTGCAGAGGTCGTCGCCTACTGCGCAACGGGTCGCGGGTTCGATTCCCGTACGGCACATATTTTGTATGGCCTTAAGAAATTATTCCTGGTCTGGGCGTATGTGGAATGTGCATGTTAGATTATATGTTTGTAATTACACCTACGATACAGAAAGAAATACTAGTGTGAGGCGAAGTATTTACAATATATATATATATATATCAAACCTTGATAGTAGTCAGTCCATCGCCAAGAGCGATTGATGTTCATATCATTACAAAAAAGATAATCTATGGTCAATCAAATTATTATGAAATAGATATTTCGAACTTGTGATCTAAATGTGTGCATGCAATTATGATCCTTAACGTGGTAAACATTTTCTGACCGCGATCGTACAATGCCCGACCAACATCAGGCAGGCCCCCCTCAGATTCGAAAGGTCTAGAGGCTTCAGACGGTGAGGAGACGCCCCCCGTGGGTAGATGCCACATCCACCTGGAATAGCTCTAGTGCACTCGTCAATTCTCGGCTTGGGACCTCCCTTAGCATCTCGCCGTCCCCAAACCCGGTGACGCTATAAAGGTCATCTGCGACAATCAGCAAACAAACACAAAAAAAAACAGTCGGGCCGCGGTCCTCGAGCTTACCATCACCCAGCTCGGAGGAAGATCTTCCCATTTGGCCTTCCTACTGGATCATTTTTAATTTGACTCAGAAAGGGCCCTATATTCCCTTTTTAATTTAATCTAAGATTTTCATAGAGCTTGCTACATTGTCCAGCCAATTAGAAATAATATGTAATACGAACTGCGCTAAAAAGTGGTTCCACATAAACTGCGATCAAGTGGGCGGGGCGAAATATCTGCGATATACACGCCGATCATGGAATTGGTTGGGATATCCGTTTAACATTATGTTACCCAATGAATGGATAGCCGAATTCATTTGCAGATATTCGATTTAACAAAATATTTTCGCGTTAGTAATAAAATTTAGTTGTATGAGTTTGGACCCATGTTATACCGGCCTTTGTTAGAGAGTAATGCTTCCATATCATTTCTTATTCGTAGACATTGCCTCATAAAAACATATTCTTTGTCAGGTTTTACGACGTGAACGACGGACAAGTGACCATAGACGGCATAGATGTTCGGGAGTTGGACTGCAAGTGGCTCAGGGGCAGAGCCCTAGGGCTTATAAGCCAAGAACCTGTTCTATTTGCGACCAGTGTCAGAGAGAACATTAGATACGGGAAGCCTGAAGCTACGGATGATGAGGTAATCATAATTTTATATTAAAAATGTCTATACATATTCAGAAAACTGTTGCAAAGAAGGACGGAACCAGTAAGCCTATACGCTAACTTTTTTGACATTTACAGTGTGTAACTGAAATGGATATTTCATATCGATCGATGCCTTTCAGGACAAGTTGCTTATTGGCGTTATAATATGGCAGTAGTGGATCAGTAAATAGCTCGGTGATCATTAGTTCCATCTGTCAAAACCTGGTAGCGAATAGGCCTACAGATTATCTTTACCATTTACTGGCGGTTGATTATAATTATAATTTTTAACACTTCCATAATAATCATATAGCCCCAATATTTAAAATAGCTTGTACCGAAGGCGCTAAATAGCGTATTAACATATTTAAATATATAATATAAATTACCAAGACAGGTAGGAAAATGCACGTGTCAAAACCCACAAATATTTGCCCCTTCCAGGTAGATTGATTTAATTAAATTTTTCACAAATAATTTAATTGCAAGCAATCCACACATTTTGTATTTCTGATAAAATCTTCAAACCATACTGTAACACTACCGACCAGTCTAGTTGTGAATTTAAAAAAAATCTGAGTTCCCAATTAAATGCATTCAAAATTTTACTGAAATTGGCGAAAAGCTTTTATTTATTTATACAAGAGATATTTTCACACCTTTAGGTAATCAAAGCAGCTATGACGGCGAACGCGCACGAGTTTATCACCGGATTTCCGGCAGGCTACGACACGATGGTGGGAGAGAGAGGGATGGCGCTAAGCGGCGGTCAGAAGCAAAGGATAGCGATAGCCAGGGCGGTGCTAAAGAACCCGCCCATTATCATACTAGACGAAGCCACTAGGTGAATGAAATGGAATGGTTTATAAAATCTTAAGTTTACAGGAAGCCCGAAGGGGAAGATCTTTCACCGAGCTGGGTGATGTTAGGCGATGATGGACATAGGGATGAACCGATACGAGTAAATACAAGTAACTACTCGATACTTTCCTTCGATACTAAGTACTTTTGGCATCGATACTTTAGAACTGAGTAACAAGTAGTATCGTGGAGTAAGTACTTGTATCGGTACTCGGTCGGTCACTCACTGAGAAGTTTCAAAAAAACTCATAGGCAGATTATTTACTCTATCATTGATCAGTCTTTCATTCATCGCGTGGCTTAAGCCGTTATTTTGTTTTCGTTAAATTAAAACTGTGACTGAATTTGTAATTGCAATATCGTTCGTCAAAATTTATCGATACAAGTATGTATTGATTCTTTTCATTCGATACCGAGTAGGCATCGATACTTTATGACCGATACAATATCGAGTAAAAGTATCGATACCTAGATGGTATCCCTTCATACCTAGATGGATTGGGATTTTATATATGTTAGCCTCCGAATTTCTCTAGCGCGATGTAGACTTTCCATACTTTTAGGAGCGTCGCCAGTAGCGCCTTATCTTGACAGGACGAATGCTGTTATTCTCAGTTAGGAAGTTTACAGACAAAATGGTACTATTTTTGTGTAGGTGGAGTCATGGGTAGTTTTTTTTATGCATAATAGGCAATGCGTTTGACCACAATCACCGCATATCGGGATAGCTATGCCCCGCGCTTTTTTCTTTGTATTTGCATTGGTAATAACAATATCAAAGAATAAGAGCGTGGGATATTTCAAAAGCTTCATTTTTATTCACGTTGATTGCCACCTCATCTGACGTCTCCTCAGGGTCCGATCTAGAAATTTTGCCGCTCCGGCCAAAATCTGCTTCTACGTCCTTCCACTATCGCGTCGTATATCTGTTTCATTTGACATTCTCTCATTTGACATTCCTGATGCATGTTGCCTGCCTGATGTATTTGGATTTTAAGTTTAGTCTGTAGATCGAGAATTAAGGATGATTAAAATGAGGTTGAGTGCGATGCTCATGCACACCATCATACTAGACTAGACGAAGCTATTAAGTTTATGGGGTTTATTTGGATTTTGAGTTATATTTATAAAATACTAGCTGTGCCCCGCGGTGTTACCCGCGCTTTATTAGGGATATTTTCCCGCAGTAAAACGTAGCCTATGTGTTAATCCAGGGTGTCAGCTAACTCCATGCCAAATTTTATTAAAATCGCTCCAACCGTTTAAACGTGAAGAAGTAAGAAACATACACCTTATCACACGCTCGCTAATTTTCACCTTTATAATATTAGTGTGATAAATCATATAAAATATAAAGCCTTTTTTTTAACACTCCTGTCTTTATCATCTTAGGTCTATGTTTTGTTTGGTATTTGGTTTTATGAGTTATTAACAACATATTATTTTCAACAGTGCTTTAGACTCTGCCAGTGAGAAAGTGGTGCAGACAGCCTTAGAGACGGCGGCCAAAGGTCGCACTGTGTTGGTTATAGCGCATCGACTATCTACGGTCATGAATGCAGACCTTATCGTCGTACTCAATAGGGGGAAAATTGTAGAGGTAATTATCATAGCAAGGAGCTCGATGGCGCAAGTGGTTTGCGCGACCAAAAGTGTAGGCGTGCGTTGACGCACTATTTCAAACTTCAACATGTTATAGGTATTATGAGGGTAGTTTTGAAAAATGGAAACAAAAAAAATATGAAAGAGTAGGAATGCAAAATTTTGATCAATCCTATGCACTTTTGGATGATCTCCAATAGTAGTAGTCACTGTAAGGCAACACCTGACTATAAATTTTATTTAAATATTTGACATCTGTGAGTACGGCCGTTAGACCGCTAAGGTTATGACAATTTTTATTTAATTTCAGATGGGAACTCATGATCATTTGAAGAAACAAAAGGGCTTCTATTGGAACCTCATCAAGCAGCAAGATCAGGACCCGGAGACCAGTTTATGAGAGTAGTAGTAAAACTTTAGTTCGATATGACAGACAAGGGAAAATCAACCTTATTGACCACTATTTAAGGTTAGTATTTTTTGTACTATGTACCCACATAGTAGTAGTGAAAATTTAGTATGTTATATTGAACTGAATTTTCACTATTACCGACATCAGACAAAGGTAATTCGACCTTATTAACCTTTCAAGGTTACTATTGCTTCGAACACAAAGTTTTCTTCCATGAGCATTTTCTTTATACATTTTTACTTTTACAAGGATATTTTATTGTTAGTTAATCACAGTGATATTATTTGTATCTATTATAGATAAAGTGTCGATGCCATTGGATATTTCAGCTTATTGCTAAATATATAAACCTCAAAATTGTGCATACAGTCAGTCAAGTCGCAATGTAGGTCTTATTTTTTGTTCCTATTTTATTTTGTTATAATATTTTCCAACAATAATTTTCAGGTGATGTGGCGTGATAATATATTAATAATAATATATATTTGAACGACGTTGTGCAAACTGGAAACAATGACACACTTTGTTTACTTATAAATAAATATTGTAGTTGCAACTTGTTATCCTAGTCCCAAAGAAGCACTGTAAGGTTTTTTCTCTCTTTCGTTTTCATATACAATTGACTTAAATCTTATTGCCACGACATAACGTGTTAATTTGTACAAATTTTAATTGATTTATATGTATCACACGGCGTCGCTCGCTCGGTTTTTGATGCACTTTCTTTAGGCGATTGGATTGGAGGCGATATGTCAATAAATTTTAGTATTTCTATTAATTATCAAAAACTGTAAGCTCATCGTAGACATTTTATTTACTTTATTCTGGCTTTGACTTCCTTTTGTGGAACTTAAAAAAAATACGTTTTGCTGTTGTTGTATTTCTGTTGACGAGTAAGCTGCTAGGCTAAAAAATATGTGCTTTGTTAAAATTTAAGAAATCGCGGTATGGTTTTTGAGTTGGATCAGTTCACCAATCAATTGCATCGCTCTAAGCCATATTGTGTTTGTATGCCCCATTATTATGAATAAAGTAACCAATTTTACTGTTAATAGGTCCTGATGGTTCCAGATTGCATAACTTCATTCGATTATTTGTTAATAGTATGTAAGAATAATTGTGTCGGTGATGTGTGTGTTTAGTAGTTTTGGTTTAAAGTGAGACGTTATTATAAAAAATGATATTGAATCATCATGAGAAACATTTTGATTATAGTTATGTTTTTATTTTTTTTAAGCATTTAACTGCTAGAAGTTTAAATCTAAAGAAAAGTTTACTAGAAAAAATCCACGCGGACCAGGCAGCAGACGGGACTCGAACCCGCACCCTTCGCTATCCGGGCGAATGCACTGACCATTATGCTACCGCGGCCTTAACGGCCGTGTCGATGTTTTCATAGCCTTAGGCTGCAAGGCTGCTTAAAAAATAAACTATAATTGCTATTTCTTCTTTCAAATGTTTAATACTTGTAAAGGTATTCATTTGACATTGTGGGTTACCTACAATGCGAAGAGATGGCGCTGTCTTGCAGCCTAAGGCTAGGAAAAATTCTACACGGCCGTTAGGGCCGCGGTAGCATAATAGTCAGTGTATTCGCCCGGATAGCGAAGGGTGCTGGATCGAGTCCCGTCTGCTGCCTGGCCCGCGTGGATTTTTTCTAGTAAACTTTTCTTTAGATATTGATTATTGTTACCAAATAATGGTAAGTTTTTTTGACCATTACAATAATATAATTTATTATTAATGAGGTGCTTTGGGGATAATTATTTGCACCTTGTGTAGTATATATAAAATATCGAATGAAACGTGAATAATTTAAGGTAATAGTGAATTGATCCTCTATTAGTGTATTTATGAGGTTATGAACAAGCGTAGTCACGTCATAAAGTATGTATTTAGTCAAATTTAACATTGTATAGTGTGCCTTATTACTATAGTATTAAGGCTTGAGGTTGCTCGTAAAAATTGTACTCATATTGAAATTAGTTATACAGCTGCCTGTGAAAACACCATCAGTCTTTAACAGAATTCATTTTGAATTATTTAATGACTTAGTTAACACAACCAATGTTATTGGATAATTCACAAATTCATTTGGACTTCAAGATGTTAATGATAAAAATCAAATTTCATTGGCAGTTCTTAGTATATTTGGTATTTTCCATACTGAAATGTGTACTTTAAACTTACTGATTTTCGGACTTGTCAATTTTAAGTTTAATTTATTACTGAGAAGCAAATCACATTACAAAAATAGCTTTGTTGAAAGAATAAAATTGTTATAGTTTAATACTCGCTTTTTTATTTGACTTCGAAAAACCTACGAAAGGATTATATTCTATTTCCTGTGAGTAAACTAAAATAGTACATGCATTAGCTTAAATTCTTTACTTAAGCTTACTTAATCACTATAATTTAGTGTCTTTGTAAGCCCTTGACCTTGTATATATTTTTTTTATCTACTCTTTAGTGGCCGTGTCAATTACTATTATGTACAGGCTACCGCACTTAGGCCGTTGTTGCCGTTTGTTTAATCAATAGTTAAATTTGACTTTAGTTAAATTCTTAAGAAAAAGAAACGATTTATTAAACTATTGACACATTTACTATGTAGTTTTGATGTGGAATTGAACTATAGTCAAATTTAACTATCAATGAAATAACACAACCTTGATTAAGATACGAGTAATTTGGTTATTGAAATATAAAAAGGCGTTATTCTCCGAAGAAATTTATTTATTGCATACGGTACTGGATCACCAAAATGTTTTGTACAATAAATTCCAATAACACTGACGAATTTTATTTACAATCAAACTAATCGTAAACTATCTACTTTTTTGTTAATATTTAATTATTCCATTAATTCATATTTACATTATTATAACAAACTTTATAATCTCAATTCGAATAGGTATACAGGTGACATTACTTATTTACACTAGTATTTTCGCGGCCCCTTTGTACCGCCTGTACCATTAAGCAGTGCCATTGATGGTACAAATGACTATATGATAATTTTTATGTTACCTATATCGGAATATAACCTTATTTACAATCGAAAAAACTCGTGTCAATATTTTTTTTTTGAAATTTGTTGTTTTTATTCGGTAAAACCAATTCTTTCTGATGTAGGTATACAAATAAAAAATACATTATAATGGTTTTTTATGAAAATGGTTAAATAATGGTACTAGTGGAATAAATCAGTGCCATTTGTACCATCAATGGTACTGCCTAATGGTACAGCTGGTCCGGAGGGTTCACAGCGGCAAATATCTTGATAACACAAATCCTCTTATTCCAAAACGTAGACTAAAGTTAGTCTTGGTTTAAATCTAATGTTGTCTCTGTCTTCTTTGTAGCAAACATAAGTGACAGCATCAGTTTTAGTCCAGGTTTAACTTTAGTCTAGTTTTGTATCAAGACCGTATCGCCTTATTGATAAACGAAAAATAATAAGTTACTCTATGTTTTGCCTCTTTTCATTGATTGACAAATGGCATTTCAGTGATATTACAAAACACGGCGTTCTTTCATTAATTAGCGGGTATAAGTTTTGCAAACTAGTGATTTCTTATACAAAAACGGATACTGCGCAAGTTTCATTATTTATGGTTGGATCAAGATGTTTGCCACTTGTCGTCTATATGGTTTAGCCAATAGACACGCTGTGTATTTAAATTTATTTTAATACTTACAGGTAAACTTTTCATCTAGATTAAATTCATGTCTTTCTTTTAGGGAAAGAAAAAATGTATTGTCCGAAAATTTGCATTTAACATGAACAATGAGCTCATTATTACATTCACTTCAAAGTATTCAACTTTATTCATCTTATTCCAAAACGCGGATTAAAGTTAGTCTTGGTTTAAACCTTATGTTGTCTCTGTCTTCTTTTTAGCAAGCAAAAGTGACAGCATCAGTTTCAGACCGAGTTTAACTTTAGTCGACGTTTTGTGATAAAGCGGTAAGCGTTTCTTCAAGATCTTGCTCCCGGTCTTACGGCCGTACTCACAGACATCAATCAACTTTTGAGTTGAATTAAAATTGATACTGTGACTTTTTGCGATAAAAATAGAATGACACCACATTTGTCTTATTGAAGTTTTGGCTTTTCTTGAAGTTTCTGATTGTCTCCGTTAAGACATCATTTAAGTCTAAATTCGCAACTCAAGACTTTTGAAACCCAATTTTGTACGGCAGAGGTTATAATTTATATCCGCTACTAAGCTCTTGTTTTGCATTGTTGTCATATTCATTTCATTTTTATGCCATCAAATCAGTTGTGAGTGTGACTGCTAGCGTCCACTTTTATCGTTCACTAATCTCATATACAACAAAGAACGTAACTTGTGGCCTATACTCTGTTCACGGAAACGAGCTATTTAATGCGAATGAAAGGTAAGCTTTCTATTCATTGACCAATTATAGCATTGTTGTAGTTACACCGGCCAATCACAGCCCCCTTTCTCATGTGACGCAGTTTTTCATCCTTCCTTTGTGTTAGCGATGGTGTGCTAGATTAAGAAACCGAAAGAGTAATAAAACAGATAACAGTTTTCAACTCCATGCAGTAGGTTTGAAAATAGAGAAAAAAATAAAATTGTAATTCCTATTACAAACAAAAAATATTATATTCCTTTCTTAGGTTTTCACGCACACCACTCATTGAATAAATCAAGTTTCAGTGGTATGGGTGAGGTATAGGTGCACTGATTTATTTATTTATTGAAGTTTCGCATCAATTTCACACGTCAATAAATCAGTGCATATATACCGTTTAAACTTGTTTTATTAAAAAATATTATACATGCTTGAAAAAAAGACATTTAACCGATCGTTTACATCTTTCACATTGCCTTATCGTAGAGTCATATGAGGGTAGTAGAAAAACTGTTTTACACAAAAACCCACAATCGGCAACTATTGCCAAAATGGTTTATTCACTCACTTCACAAAATCTATCACAATTAATGGGTATATACAAATAATCTAAATTTTAATTCCGTTTTATATAGATGTAACAGATCAATATCGTATAGCCTATTATAGTATTATGCATGTATAATCTACTAATATGTTTATGTACAGGAAATTAATAGTTATAATGCAGCATTTGATACAGCATTATAAATTATATTATTATCAGTGCTAAATTTAATGGTAAAAGAACTAACCATTTTAAAAATTAATAGTTTCTAATCATATAATAGGTAGGTATAGGTAGCGGCAAACTTCTTAAGCAAAAACACGTAAACGTTTTTGAATGTAAGATTGCTACTGCGCAGGTCTTCTTGTCTGTTCCCTAAATGGGCAATTAGCAGCTTAGAGGGTATCCGCAGGGTTTTTTAACGGATATTATGCCATAAAGCACCCGTAAGAGTTACGGGGTCCTCAGTTGGCAGCCACTGCGTGGGCCCGTCGGCTTGCGGGAGCCAGCCCCGCTAGCATGACCACCGAAATGAGATATGATGAAGCGATATATCGGCATTAACTGTCAGACTACTGTCAAACTCCTAATGCCGATATATCGCTTTATCATATCACGTTTCGGTGGTCATGCTAGTGGGGTGTGTCAATGCAGGTGTGAGGTCCGTTCGTCCGTAAATAGAGGTTTTGCCTGCGTCATAAAAAAAGGCCTTCTTGGTTATGGTCGTTGTTCAAGAAGTTTGCCGGAGTGTATACTCACTTCACATTCTAATAACTACAATGATATTTTGACAAAAAAGGAATCAATTTAATCTATAACAGTTTTTACAATTATTTTAAAAAGTTAACTAGCATTACCGAATAATTAGTCTAAAATAAACAATCAATAACTTTTAACAATTAATATTTATGAGAGCAATAGGTGTGGCGTTTTTGCATCCGTGTTTTTAATATTATTAGTTAGATACGTATATTATTTAATTGACTTATTTAGAAATAGTTGGTAATCATTTTAAAGATGCAAATTATACATTTTTTATAATAAACATTGCAACGTGTTCTCCTGGCGCGTAATTTTGATCTTATGTCATATCAACAACGAAAGCATTTCACAACCTCTTGGGAGATCATCAGATGGTTGGTTTAATTATCGGTTTGTTGACAGTCAGGGTTATGACTTATGGGTTATGGATAATGATAACCTGTGGAATAATGGTTTAAATGTTGACTTTTAGTCGCCATTAGTTTTTCATCATTTTGTGACTTATGGTATTGAATGACGGCTACATGAGCGCTTTGGGCCGCCTTAGACAGGTTACTCACATTCCTGCCACAGGGGCAATCTAGGGGGAAATTTTCTACATTTGAATTGTGATGTTTAGCCAATCAGGCTAAACATCACAATTACACTTAGGAGGTTATTAAGGGTCATCCCTACTCTTACAGTCTAGATTGCCCCTGTGATAGGAATACTCACATTCCTAAAAGCCGGCAAAAACGGAATTTTCGTGTCATTGTAGTCATTGTGAGTATACTTTTTGTGCAAGTCGTTTTTTCATAAATTTGTTAATTTTCAATAAAAAAAATTGTAACTTTCGCAGACATTCATTTAAACGTATCTTTTTCCACCAGATGGCGCTATTAGCCAATAAAAAATAATCTTAGAACAGTCTGAATGTAGCCTCAAGAAAATTTTAATTAATTTAAATACTGAATTGATATAGGTATTGTTTTTATTATGGTGAAAATATCTGATATAACCAATATTATTATTATTATCTTAGATAGTACCTTAATAAACTGAGCTTTATACACATGGAGTATGGGGTCCATAATATATGGACAATATAGGTAATTAAAATATTACTAAGTAGGTATGTGGACAGTTTCCATATTTGTGTGGAGAGTTAAAATAATCAATTTTTTTAACCAAAATATTGCGTGTCATACGTCCACTATTGTAAATGTATTTTTATCATTAATGTAAGTTCCGTTTTTCGGCACGCCCATTCTCTTTCCGCACAGACTACCTACGTAACCATGCTATTTAAGATAAATAAATGTCAGCTTTCTATTCAGGTATACCTACGAAATTCTGTATTTTTTAAACATACTTATCTTTGCGGAAGGAAATTGAATTATTTTACATTGAAGGAAACTGTAACGTTTAATAAGGTATATGAAATTATATTTAAATTCCTTTTTACCCTAACACTGCATAGAGTATACTAATATTTACCTATTTTAATTATTAAGGAATACGCTATAATATTATTATTACAAATTGTCAATTAACTAAAATGAACCAACTTATAATTTATACAATATAGTATATAATAAACTTTTAGTTTGTAGAACAATTAAGATAGGTACGATAAATGTTACGCTTGTGAACGGCGTCTTACAGGTCATACGTATAGGTACTTATTTATTATTAAACTAAATAGTTAAGGATTTTAAAGGTACAATCGATTTTCTTGTTGACAATAGTAAATTATCGCAAGCAATATTCAAAATTTATTACATTAAGGTTAACAATAATTTGTAGATATTTGGTAATCATAACCCGTTGTTGATTTGATTGCATATAGGTACACATGGTTGATTTCCTAAAGCTAAACTTAAATTTGACAACAGTGTATCTTTGTCATTCTCTATACAGAATAAAAAGGACAGACTGATGTTAAATTTAGTTTTAAGTTTAGAGAATCCTGTCAGAATCGACACCATGGTCGCACTTAATTTCTAATATCAGGAAGACAAGGCTCATCATAGTTCATCAAATATTCAACTGCACCTGCACTCTTCGATATATCGTGATTACTGTCCATTATACTGTTACTTACATTGGGTATTAATGCCGTACCTACAGTAGACACAACACGATAAAGTTCACGATATCTCTTATCGATTTCAAGAGTGTAGTACCCCTAGCACGAACCAATATCGAATTCGAATAGTTCACGAGTCCGAAATGTCATTGTCAAATTTCGTATGGAAACTTGAACAGCAGCGCCATAACGGACGTAACGAGAACTAAAAATCAGTAAACATTTCACAATGACATTTCGTACTCGCAAACGTTACGAATTCGATAGGTATTGGTTCGTCGAGGTCCGTTAGATCTTGATGGCTAGTGCCAACTCTACTGAAACCAGAACGAGAGCTCTTTAATATTGATAGTCAAGGTATCGCAAATTTCATCATGAACTCGTTACCTATATTTTAAGAGAGACACAGCTGATTTTTCTCTCGTATTAGAGCGCCCGTTTGAGATGGCCCGAAGCAACCTCCACATACAAAAATCTTCGGTGTAAGTTTGTATGTCTGTGGCTTTACTCACGACCTTTGCCGCTAGGCATAAACCCATCGTAAACTTGGACCCCCTGTTTAATAAACGAATAATAAGCTTGGATTAGTTACTCTATATTTTGTCTTTGTCGTTGAAATACAAATGCCACTCGAGTGATATGAATTCCCCGTTTATTAGTAAGGGGGAAGAGTAAAGGCCCTGGAGTCTTTGCAGGAGGGGTATATCGGGGAGTCGTTTGACCTAGTGAATACGGTGGACACTTTCGGAAGGCTAGATAACAGTCGCGGCCCAGTGTCATCAGACGGGTCTCGAAGAGCCATAGAAGCCCGGTATCGATTGGAGGGTGAGTGGTCAGGGGCTGTACTTTTAAAATCAACTACTTCTTGATGAGTCCTACTTTAACCCAATGTGTGTGTGTGTGTAACAAAGTGAGGTGTTTGAATATGAGGTGTTTATTTTGTTGTTGTGTTTAGTGTGTGTTGTTGTTCTTTTTAGTTTTGTATAGTAATTGGTATTAATATAACTGCTCTATTGTATTAGGTTATACCTGTAATGATAGACGTAAGTGATTATTAAGTAATAAAATAATAAGTTAGAGAAGGATCACGAACACGATATATTGAAAATTAATTATAAGAGTACAAGCGCAAAGAAAATAGTTGCAGTCTACACCAGAGGATCGAATGTACCGTGCAGGAATTACCATGAGCATTACAGTTTTTTGAAATTGCTTGCAGTGCTTGATGCATTTGTTCCCGCCAAGGAAGAAAAAATCTCTCGATAGGGTATTAGGTAGTTGAATCCATAGAACTCGGGTGGAAAGTGCGGGTACCTCACAAAAAAATGGCCTCTAGTAACTTCTAAACTATCGAAATACAGAAAAAGAAACTGGTGTTTCGAAATTCCAAACAGTTTTCCCGCCGTTCACTTCGCGCCATTTTAGCTAAGCCAGCCGCCATTTCCTTAACCCCACCGTCATCGCAGACCGAAGTGCATCACTACAGACGCGAACAACAGCAGGCAGTAGGCGCTGGACGTGATCCCGTGTATGGCGCTAGTGTTGCGCCGCAGGATCGCCGCCATTTTGTTACCTGGAAACAACCGGAAAGGCAACCATTTTATTGCAACAAATACTTCTGCGGAGAGGTAGGGTACAGCGGAATTTCCTGTCAAATCGGAGTGCCCGTTTTGGGAAGCAACCTGCACCTTACACAAGACCACAATAAATTAAAACTACCTTTTGTTGGTGTTGTGTTTCTGCAGGTGAGTAGGGCTCTGCGTCTGAAACCCTTACGTGCAGGGGATTGGGATCAGGGTCGCAAGGCGAGGTTGGCTGGAGCGGCACACCTTCTGCCCCATCATCTATCTTTGCGACTGAACTCCTCTAACACTTAACAGCAGGTAGGGTGGGATAATTTGTTGCGTTTTGCTTTACAGCTAGGTCACACATAACCTTGCCGCTATGAGAGACGGAGAGCGATATACAAAATGTACTTAAATATTGAGAAGCCTAGTGACGGGGTTAATAATAATAAGTATGCAGACCGTCGCTGCGTTGAACGCAAAGCCAAAAGTCGTGGCCGAGCAGGTAAAAGCCTGAGAGGCCTGAGGTTGTATTTGAATTCCTTATGTTCTGTTGTCAAAGCGAGTAATCAATTACGTCCTTCTAGCTAATTGAATTTTTTGTGATGATATTTGTAATCAGTGTCTCCGACAAGAATAACGTCTATGAAACTAGGCTCGGGGTTGCTTGCGCTGCACTTGCAGTTGCCGGAGTCTTTCAACGCGGTAAAGTTAAGCTTTCATTAGGATCACTATAATCAATGATGATTTCATGATACTCACTGCCCTCTGACACGAATACGTGTATGGAAGCAGGTTCGGTATTGCTCGCGCTGCATGTGTAGTTGCCAGAGTCTTTTAGCGTGGCGCCGCGAACAGTGAGCCGCGACTGGGTGCGCGCGCCCGGCTCCGTCTCCACAGTAATGCCGCCGCGGGTCGCGTCGTAATTGATCATGCGCTCGTTGTGGTACCAGAAAACGTACTGAGGAGGGGTTGGGCTCTGGAACATTCAATAATAGGTACCTTTTGGTAGCGGCAAACGTCTCGAGTCCGTAGACAAAAGGCGCAGTTGGTCTTAAAGTTAGCAACGAGCACAACTTTATGCAGTACTTTTAGCACGAACCAATGTCGAATGCGTTACGTTTGCGAGTGCTAATCGTCATTGAGAATTTTGTATCGAACCTTGAATAGCAGCGCCACAAGGGACGTAACGAGAATTAAAAATCAGTACACATTTGACATGTATCGAACTCGAATTTAACTATTCGAATTCAATAATGGTTCGTGCCAAGGATACAGGGAATTTCAGACAGTGAAACCCTGTGTTCGCGCATCTAAATTTAGTTCACTGCACTTCCACTAAGCGTTAACAGTATCTGCCTAGGGGATGGGCAAAATTAGGAAAAGTCGAGAGTTTTAGCTTATAAATGATTATCTGATCTGGTGATTGAATTTTCACAATTTTCTGTCCTTATTAATAGGTACTGAAATTCAAAATATTTAACATCGTTATAATAGTTATGTACATCTTAAGCACCTCGCCAAACTAACTTCAGAATAAGCTTGAGGGGTTTTGATGAAATTTGTCTATAACGATTTCTTACACTGACTTAAGAATTTCTGTAGTCGAATTTAGTCAAGTTGTTACATAAAACTAAACTTAGTTTCATAAGCACTGCCTAAACTGGAAAATATCAAGAATTACTTTAGTTCTTTTCGGTCAGGATTCAGATAGGTAGGGCATAGCTGATTTTGCGTTCGAATTGGAGCATCCGTCTGGGGAAGTAACCTCCATCTTACAGACCACAGTAAAATAACACCGCCTTTTGGTCGTGGTGTGTTTCTATCGGTGAGTAAGGTTCCAAGTCCCCATGGGGTAGGAGATAAGATCAGTACCCTTAGTACGAGTTTACAATTACGAAAACTATTGATAGTTTTCGTGAGCTTGCACTCGTGCTAAGTGAGTGGTACTGTTTTTATTGTTTTCATTTCAATACAAATAAACAGTGTTTAAATTATATCATTGAATCGTTTGCGTTTTCTTAAATTTTAAGAATATTTGGGTACTTGGTACCAAAATCGACATAGAAACATAATTTACAATTACGAAAACTATGATAGTTTTCGTGAGCTAAAACTCGTACTAAGGGTACCGCTTAGATGGTAAGCGGTCACCATAGCTCTATGACGCGTGCGATACAAAAAATATCAATCGCGCCGTTGCCTACCCGGCAGGCCACATGTTTGTTTGCCACTTTTTAACATAAAAAAACATATTACATAAAACTTAAATAGGTTTCAAGATGGCAAGAAGTTACTTGTTGATTATGTAAACGTTGTTTGGAACCGTGCCACAGAGCGCTGCGCATTTCAAGGCACTACATGTAATTAAACTTATTTTTCCTTAAGCGATGGCGAACAGCCCTGCCGTTTGTTCTTAAGTAACGGGAGCTTATAGAGCTTAAAATGTGGAGCTTCGCTGGGATTAAGTTTGAGTTCCTTTTTACAACGCCGATTTAATTGGGAAATCGAATGGTCGGTATTTTGGAGAAGTTTTCTATTTCGTAGCTGAAGTAAACAAAACTTTAGATCAAATTATTAAAACGATAAATTCAACGCTTTGGAAATTGGTTCAATTAGGTTTACAGTGTTACAATTTTTGAGTCAGACGAAGATTCAACCATAGAACAACATGGAAGGGAGTAGCCATAGCGACATATTTACAATACACTTTTTACTTCTGAATCCTCAATGTGATTTGAAACTATAATGTGTAATTCAAATACACTTTAAATAACACCGGTGAAAAGTGAGTTTATTATTACAGAATAGCTCAACGTGGAGATCTTTGGGGAAAACCTTTGCTCAGCAGTCGCATGGTTGAAAGATGATGTTCATCTATCTATCTATGCCAGCCTTTGGGTTCGCCTTCAAACATAGGCTTTCTCTTAAACTTTCCACACTTCTGTCGCCGTTAACATGCATCCAGTTAATACCAGCCTGTTTCCGAATGTCAACTCTTAGGTCTTTCTATGCCGTGGGTGTCATTGCGGAGTCTCCACTCTAGGATCCTTCTGTCCTAGCGATCGTGGTTCATCCGTGAAATGTGATAATTATGTATCGAAAGGCAACTTTAAAAAGAGTAAGATTATTGTGCGTACCTTCTCCACGATACAGATGAGGTGTATGACGCTGCCCAGGTCCACGTGGTGCTCTCCAGAGCCCAGTATGAAGGCTTCAGGTACCACGATCTGGAGGCGGACGTAATGGGAAACAATGCCGGTTCGCGTGGACACCTGCAATAGACAAAATGGAATGGTTAGAAAGGGAAGAAATGCTACTCTAACATAATGCTGGATTCAAGGAGAAAGAATCACATTTCTCTCGGGGTTTGACGTTTGGAAACCACTTCTTGAAATGATTGCCTTTGCATACGACCATCTCTGGTTTTGACCGCTTCTGCTTAAGATTACCTCGTAAAATGATCTGGATACTTTCAGTATAGTATGCAAAAGGATAGATTAATATGTTGAAGAAAAAATGATGAATATGATAATTTATTATATTACGTTTAATTTTTAGTTTATGTTACTTCTTGTCCAGCTAAGCTGCGTTCACACGAAGACATTAAAAAAGTTGCGTATTCGTTGGTAATAAAATAAGGAAGTAGTCAAAAGCAGATTGGTCCTTATGGGTTTTACGCTTTACAAGAAGTGGTCGAATCCAAAAGAGGTCATAACTAGAAAAAGACCAATATAGACCTGGTCCATAAATGTCAAACCCTTCTCAAGTGAGGTATATAGGTATAATATAGAACGGTTATTAGAGAATATGTAACAAGGATTCAAGGAAAAAGAAACATTTTTATTTCTCAATTGAGATACGGTAGTTACAGTGGATTACAATGCTCTATTTGGAGCGTCTGTCTAGGGAAGTTTCTAACTTCAAGAGCACTACAGACAAAAAGCCCAATTCTGTAACGCTGTGATCCTATCTGAGCTCCACCTAGGTACTGTTACGGGATACTTTATCGTTGTATTCTAAGTTGTTATGTAATAACACCTCTGCTCACCACTCTTAGCTGCGGGGCACCTCGTAACTCGACTGCGCTGATAAGAAACCATTATAAAAGATAAAATAATCATTCTTACGATGTACCTCACGCAAAACAGGCGTCCATAAGGACGTCAATTGCGGAAACGCCCGTAGCAAGAAGAAGAAGATCATTCTTACGAGGTTGTATCAGTCAAGTCAGACTAAAGCCTGTCTAGCAGTATTGGAATATCTTACATGCCAACCTAAATACCCTTTCTTCAACAATTCCATCCGCCCCTAACTCCCGTAGGAAAATAACGTCGTCTGTTACAGCGAAAAACACTCATCTGTTTCACTTCCGAACCATTGATCGCATCCGAACTCTGACAAACAGAATATTGAATAGAAAAATAACAAGTGAAAGTTAGTAGGTACCTATTATAGGCTGTTTTACCTATACCCCGATTTTTCTGTCTCAGTCAAGAACCTTGGGAGGCGTCCGACTTTGTCACGTTGCATGCAGATGGGACTGGGAACGAATATTTACATAAAGAAAAAATCTTTTAAAAGTCACGGAGCGCTCTTTGATAACACTAGCTGTAGATATAAGACTTTTTGTCACGAAGCAGTTTTAAGGCGCGTTGAGGACCGGTGGGAATTTACGAATGAAAAAATAAACCTATCGTAATTTAATAATATTCAATACCCTCTTGCCTACTAACACTTATTTATGTTTCATGCTTGAATAAGTTTAATTTGCCATATTTGACGATCTCCGTGGCCGAGTGGTTTGTACGCTGGGTGTCATGGTGTCGCCTACTCGAGAGGTCCCGTGTTCGAATCCCGGTGGGGGCAGATGTTTGTGTGATGAGTACGAATTACATATAATTATAAGTATATCTATCCTTCAAAAAAAGAGCGTACTCCTTCCTTAAAGGCCGGCATCGCATTTGTGATACTCCTGGTGTTACAAGTGTCCATGGGCGACGGTGATCACTTACCATCAGGTGAGCCGTCTGCTCGTATGCCACCTATAACATAAAAAAAAATAGATATATATATTAACCATCCATGACTGGAGTACAAATGCTCGTATTTATCACACAAACATCTGCCCCCATCGGGATTCGAACCCTCTAGTACAAACCACTCAGCCACGGAGGTCGTCAAAGGAGGTTTATTATTACTCAGCAATATTGTGCCACTCATGCTACAATACTACTGAGAGTTTTATGAGAGCACGACTCGCTTACTCCAACTTCGGTACTAAAATTTAAAAATGAATTTATATTACCTCCCCGTAGAACTGTTACCTCCCACAACTACTATAAAGTAGTGAAGTGTAATTTACAACCATATTATTTCATAAATAATGTGTTAAGGTGTTTCTACTACGCTTTACATACTTATTTGCTACTTTTTTACAAGTATTTACTATACATATCTACTAATTATTATTTTCAACACATTTGCTAACAAGTAAGTATCTGAGGTACTTGTTATTTCTGAGCTCTGTTCTCTCTGCTTACTCCGTTCGGGAGAAGAGTGTATTTTTACTATTTTTTATTATTTTTCATTACAAAATACTGACTGCCTGCACCTTTTATGGACCCATAACTGTCAAACAATAACCACTGTCCACCTATAAGTTGACCCTATAGATTTAAACCTAATAATTTCAAAAGAAAATGATCAGGCTTCAGAGAAAAAACCGCACCAGGGTATACAAATATTTTATTCACAAAATGGAGGGCAATAAAAAAAAAACTCGGCTGGGTCGCGGTAGGCGGCCGGATCGGAGCGAACGTTTCTTTCATATTTTATTTTCATAGACGAAGAGAATACCTTTACCGTAACATACGAAGGTAAATGTTGGGCAAAAAGACAATAGGTTTTTGATGAGACGACAAAGGTACAATATTTATAGCACGGTCGATTTAGAAGGAAAGGACCATGACGAAAATGGCCTTAGAACTTAGATTAAAACAAAAAGGGAAGATACGGCACGCGCGGATCCAAAGCTGTTCCGCTTAAATTGTGGTGCATGACCACAATTCGCTTTAGTCACAATTGGACATTCAAACACGCTGCATGTGCACTCAATATAACAATATTATTGATTTCAAAAGTTAGTCTTGTGCATTAACTTTACAAACAGGCAACTATCTGTTAATCTACCTTCTCTATATACCTGAATCTAATACGTAATTTCGGTACTTGGCTTGATTTCCCTAGTTTACAATATAACTTATTGGTTTTTATTATTTTAATACCAATGTACCTATTTGAAAGCATAACCTCAAAATCATATATCAGTGTATATGGTTTATAGAAGTTCTCAGTTGCGTCCGTCAATAACATTCGTTTCTACAGTAATTTATATAGGTATAATTTCAAATCTAGGAAACAATTTTCATGATTATTGGTCTTTAGGCCAAACATGTATGGAAGCTGAGCAATCTCCTTTGTTCTAGTGAAATTTTCTTTAGATTTAAACACCTAGCAGCATAAAATAATCAATAATTGCTATTTCTTCTTTCAAATGTTTAATACTTGTAAAAGTATTCATTTGACATTATGGGTTACCTACAATGCGAAGAGATGTCGCTGCTTTGCAGCCTAAGAAAGGTAAAGAAAATTCAACACAACCATCAGGACCGCGGTAGCATTATGGTCAATGAATGCCCGGATAACGAAGGGTGCTGGTTCGAGTCCCGTCTGCTGCCTGATTCGCGTAGAATTTTTTCTAGTAAATATTTCTTTAGATTTAAAAACATCCTGAAAACATAAAATAGACGTATGAACTCATAATTGAATCAGATCAGCTAATTGTTTTATAAACATCTAGATATTCGAGTGTTACGATAGTATAAGTCTTATTTATATGTGGGAATCGCTAACGGTTTATTCCAAATTTTTCATTCACAATTCACGGCATACAAAACTACACGTCCTTCATTTATTAATGGGAAGTACAACTTGGGAATAAATAATAATAAAAAAAATGGTTGCCTGTAAAGTCGGTTTTACGGGCGAAGATTTTACGTGACAACGTCTTTTTCTCGGTAGAATATTTATTGATATGAATATAATTAAATTGCACAATAGGAACAAGGAATTGAATGAAAATAAGAATTGCACAAATTTTAACTATAGAAATATATTTTGTTTACTAAAACATTGTACATGTAAACTTAAACTTAACACGAGAGACTCATCGTAACGTTACCGAGCGTTACACTTTTTCATAAGTGACTCCCAGCCGCAACCTAATTTAAGACGTTGTCACGTCAAAAATATGACAAACTTTAAGTTAACGTAAAAAAGCAATACGGCTGTTTAGTTACGTAGCTATAAATTTGTACGGAACCCTCAGTGCCGCACTCGAACGATTTTTTTTGTTAACTTTCAAAAGTATTATTATCGATAGCCCTGCATCACTATATTAACGTTAGAATCGTTTACAAAACCTTTTAAGTAAGTACATCCCAAACCACTGGTCGGTTACCGTCCCGTTGTGGTAAATAAAACCCGTAAAGGCCGTAATCTTTTGGTATCCTGAAGGGCTTAAACGGATCCCTTAACTAACTGAAAACTAATACGAAATTTCTCCCTGAAAACCTTTGCAAACTTACACAGGCATTAACTACAAGTCGAGTCCCAATCAGAACCCAAACAATTTGGGTAAATTTAACTCTATGACTAACTGTGGTCGAGATGATTGCATAAGGATTTTCTTGGCGGGTTCCTCTCTGCAGTAACAGTTAGTTTTTCGACATTGACCTAATGTAACAATAATCTAATGTATGTAAATAAAGGTTACAATGCAGAAAATCTAAATATCTATTTAGATATTGACGTCCTCCGTGGCCGAGTGGTTTTCAAGGTGTCGCCTACTCGAGGGGTCCTTGTTGCAGCTGGTACCACCGGCTTGACGTGCCTTCCAAAGCATTGTTTATTACTGCTGTACCAGCTATCTTCGCGTTTGGATTTTATTCCCACTTAACATCAGATAGGGTAGAGTCATTTGCCTACCTGGCTATATATATATATATATATATATATATAGTTATTATATTTTATATATATATATATATAATATATATATATATATATAAAATATAATAACAGGGATGCCGTTTTGATTGTAGCCTGCAGTGGTATTCTGTAAGAACAAACTCACTTTTTACCTCGGAATCCACGGTGTGATATTATTAAAATAAGAGCACGAATTTCAAATGCATTTCAAATCGCACCTGCG